AAACCATTTTTGACCAACAAAATAACAGAAAAAAATATTATTCTCTCAGAAAACGAAAGTCCTTTGTCTGATCAAGTTGAAGTACGCAGCATTGTTAAGGCTTGAATAAGGGGGCGGGGCCTAATTTATACGAGAAAAGTTCACTGTGACGTCACACAAAAATATGACTTTTATGTATTTCTCATTATACCTGAAAATGAAATACTTTGCAACTTTTAACTGTATTAGCATAATAAACAACAATAAAACTTATCAATGCATTTAAAAACTTGCTAGTTAAATCCCATGTAGCTGGTTATAGACAAAGCACTGATCGCGATTAACTTGTAAACATGACGTCATTTTGGTAAAAATGACGTATTTCGTGTGCTGTAAGAGGCAGATTGAGGAGTTTTTTAACAAGGAAAAATGCGTTTTATTATTAAACGGAATATTATTTACAGGTTTTAGATACAAAGTGCATATCCTTTATTTAGTGCGATTATTAATTAACTATCAAGAGAATGTATTTTATTAATTTTGTCGTGTTTTTATGTACAGGTTAAATATATTTTACATCGAGATGCCTCATAAAATTGCACTTTCACAAGGGCATACACTCAATAGATCTTAACCATTTTTTGAATATAGATAAAGGATATTTTTCTTAACTTGAAAAGTGCTGCTGCTTTCTTTAAATCGAGGTTGTGATTTTATAAGTACACAGAATATTTGGTAAAGGTCAAACATATTTCGACATTGGCTTATTTTGTTTTAAAATTTAACTATTAAAACGCAAATTCTTTTCAAAGCAGCAGCACTTTTCAGAAACAACAAAGTATGCAGAAACAAATAATAACTTAAATTTTTTATTTCAACTAGGGTATGCCCTTACGATTTTGAAATTTGTTCATGACCTACATTCAGTACACAAACTATGCATTTATCACATGACTGTCCATCGAAGGGACCAAACTTCATACAGTACAGAGTGAGTTATAATATGCTTTTTCAATAAGTATTTGTGTTCTGTGATAAGCTTAATTAAAATCAATTCAGTTTTAAAAAGGTCCCCATTTTTTGCACGTCTATTTTCCGTTGATTTCTCATAGCAGGCCCTAACAGTGCTGCGTATGCAATGTTTTTGACATTTTTTTTGTAAATCATGCGAAAAACATCGGAATAGATTGTGTTGATGTCAATAGTGAACACCCTACATTGTAAAAATCTGTGAGAGTATCAAAGGAAAGGATGCTGTTGAATCATTATCTTTTCACCCTGTAGACAAGGACTTTGTAAAAAAAAACAATACACTAACAAATTGGGCTTGAAAAAAGCTACTGGAATTGATGGTTTTTCAGCTAAAATTGCTAAACTTAGCCAGGAACATATATTGAACACTGTGACCAATCTTGTAAATTTTTGTTTTTCTAAAAATGTTTTTCCAGATCGTATAAAAATTGCACAAGTGGTTCCACTTCAAAAGAAGCAAAGTATTTTGAAAAAAGGAAACCATAGACCAGTTAGCATTTTACCTACATTGTCAAAGATTTTTGAAAGGGCTATTCATAGTCAATTGTCTGATTTTTTTCAGTTGCCATTTTAATGATATGTTATCAGCTTTTAGACCAGGGTATGGCTGTCAGAGTGTGTTGCTAAAGATTGTTGAGGATTGGAAGTATGCCCTTGATCATAAAAAATATACAGCAGCAATTACGATTGATTTATCTAAAGCATTTGATTGTATTCCACATGATCTAGGTTTAGCAAAACTAAATGCATACGGTTTTACAAATGCAGCTACTAGTCTTATCTCAAGCTATTTAATCAATCGAAAACAGTGTGAAAAACTGGAGGAAGTTTGTATTGATTTTTTAGAATTGTACAAAGGTGTTCAACAGGGTTCAATACTTGGTCCTCTTATTTTTAATATTTTTATCAATTATATTTCTCATTTTCTGTCAGATTGTGATCTCTACAACTATGCCGAGGACAACACTCTCAAACTCAAGTGACGATATTACATCACTAAAAAAATACTTTGGAATCAAATTGCTCCACTTAGTTAAGTGCTTTGGAAATAATCAATTGCAAGCAAATCCCGATAAATTTCAAGCTATATGTCTCGGAAAGAAAACTAAACAGGAAAACATTTGATTTGAAATTGATGGTAATATGATTCATCCGGAAATCGAAGTAAAATTACTTGGTGTTACCATAGATTTTGAGCTCAAGTTTAGCTCTCATATTTCAAACATTTGTAAAAAAAAAAAAAAAAAAAAAAGAAAAAGAAAAAAATAAAGCTTCACAACAATTAAATGTACTTGAAAGAAAAGGGGTACACCTGACCAAATTAGGAAAACTAACAATTTATCATACATTTACCATGTCAAACTTCAACTACTGTCCATTAGTTTGGCATTTTGTGGTGAACGAGAAGCAAGAAAAATGGAGAGAAAAAAAATACAGGAAAGAGCACTGCAATTTGTTTATGATGACTACAAAAATTCATATAGTTATCTTCTGGACAAATCAAAATTACCAAGCCTCAAACTCAGGCTTATTAGAACAATGGCCATAGAATGTTTTAAGATTTTAAACAAGCAAAGCCCGTCTTACCTGCACGATTTTATTCATATTAAAGAAACACCTTATTCTTTTAGATGCACGAAAACTGCTGTTTTACCAAAAACAAGATCAACAACATATGGATTGAAGTCTTTTAGATATGAGTCTGCAAAACTTTGGAATTCTTTACCAGAATCTTTTAGAAATATTACATTGCAAAACTTTGGAATTCTTTACCAGAATCTTTTAGAAATATTACATTGCAAAACTTTGGAATTCTTTACCAGAATCATTTAGAAATATTACTTCTTTTAACCAATTTAAGGAGGAATGCCACACCAAATTTTTATTTTATAGATCTGAGAGTCAACCTTTTTAAACATGGTTTCAGAATCGAAAGGCCGACATTAGCTCTCAATTATTTTACATAATTTTTTTTTTTTTTTTTGTATTTTTTCAAAGAAAATGAAAAAAAATATTTTCATTAAAATAAGACGTTTTTTTTGTAAACACTCGCTGTAAATGAATGCATCACATTAATATCTAATAAAATATGTGTAGAAAAACTGCATATATATTAAATTTTTTTTATAAAAAATATTTATGAAAATTAAACACATAATTTGTGAATACTTTTTAAATTTGTGGTTAAAATTTCTTAAAACCAGTCATAACTGGGGAGAACATGTTCTTAAATCATATTTTAAAAAGAAATTGAAACGAAAACGAGAACTTAATTTTTTTTAACTTTGGCCAATCCCGATCGAAATTAAACCGATCCCAACCATAATTGTATATTTATTCGAAATAAATACATTTCCCCAAGAACACTAGTCTGATTAAGTGTAATAAGGATTTAAACATTAATGAACCTGACAATAAAATAGATTTCTTCATTGTAAATACATCAAGAGGCAGTAAATTAGCATTTTATTAATTTTGTAACAATTTTGATCGGGATCAGTTTAATTTTGATCGGGTTAGGTCCAAATATTGAAAAATTAATTTCTCTTAAGGGGGCCGACTATAGTTTTATTGTGTGAAAACTACAATAGCGAAACTCTTCATTTTTATAACATATATAGCTTACATTAATTTCAGTGTACATGCAAAGTTTGGGGGAAATCTACCGTCCAGGTGTTTTTTAGGGACCGTCTCAAAATACAGGTACATTTACTATAGGATTATATAGGAAAATGCCAATTTTTAGCACTTTAAAGCAAATTATACAAATACTACAATAGACATTTTGTTCAAACTATGATATTTGATGAGTAATACTATATTTTACAATATATGTAAGAAATACAAAATTCTACCGTCTTGTAACCAGAGGGGGACATCTCAAAATGCAAAATAATAGCAAATTTTACTATTTTTATAGAGTATTACTAAATATGACGTCATAATGGATTTACTTGAAAACATAGTAAAAATATTGGAGATATACTAAAATGTGTATGTTTTAAATTTCAAGAGAGTATGTTTCTTACTTTTTCTTTAATGATATTTTTATTACCCCTTTCTTAAGAGATACAGGTTATCATAACGTCAAAAACACACTGCAACGACGCCAACCTACCTATCAATTGCAAAATCGGTTAAAAAATCTGTAATATCAAATTGTAATTACATTTATACCTATAATTTCTTAATTTGTTTAATCTTAACAATTGGGCGGAAAAAATTGCATTAAAACAGTAATTCCGCTTCATTTTACTACGATGCGCGAAATATTGCGCAATAGAAACTATAGTCGGCCCCCTTAAAATTAATTTCTCTTAAAATTTTCAATTTCATTTCAGTTTCTTTTAAAAATATGATTGACAAACATGATGTCCTCAGTTGTAACTAGTTTTATGGTGATTTTAACCATAGGTTTAAAAAATATTCACAAATAATGTTTTATTTTCATAAATATATTTTTTTATAAAAAAAATCAAAAAGTCTAACCAGCCTTTCTTTACATATTTTATTAGATATCAATATGATACCTTCTTTTACAGCAAACTTTTAACTCGAAAACATCTTAGTTGGTTGTAATTAATTTTTTTTTCATTTTCTTTGAGAAAATACAAAAAAAAAATCATATAAAATAATTGAGAGCTAATGACGGTCTTTCAATGCTGAAACTATTGTTGAAAAAGGATGACTCAAAGATCTATAAAATAAAAATTTGGTGTGGCATTCCACCTTATGTGATGTATACTATGTCATTGTAAAGCACCACGGAGGAATAGTGATATTTTAGTAGTGTGATTTAATTTTTTAAAAACTGCTTCTTGTTTATTATGTATAATTGCTGTATTTTATGTTGTTTGTATTTTATGTAATATTATGTAGTCGGAAAATAGCTCTTCAGAGCTAATGTTCTTTGATGATGTAGCCGACTTTAAATAAATATTATCTTATCTATCTTATGTTATCTTTTGTTCAAATATGTTGCATATATTTGGAAAAAGTTAAAATTTTATGAAATCAATTTATTCACTTTTTATTTTTCTTTCCAGAAACAATTACGTGGAATTCCCATCACTATGTGCAATCGTGGGTGAGTATAATTTTCTCAAAATGTTTAATCTGGTTTATTTGCTAAATTTCCATCTTTATTTGAAAAAAAAATTAAGGTTTACTATTTTCACAGAGATAATAACAAATGCTGTTACAACAATTTCTTCAACGGAACAGCGTGTTTAGGTAAGGGGTTTTTCAGTACTCTTTTATAGTTGAAGCAAAATCAGAATTAAAGATTACATATACGAAATAATAGTATAATTGACCAGTAATTGCAATTTTGAATATATTTACAATGAAAGACTATTTTTATCAGAATGTCCTCCTGGTTACTATGGAGTTAACTGTAGTGCACTTTGTAGCCAAGGTTCTTACGGACATCTGTGCTCACAGACATGCAAGAAGTGCCCCCAGGAACTGTGCGATAGAGTATTAGGATGCCGAAGTAATCTATGTTTTATCGTTATTTTTATATTTATTTGTACTTATCACAATACACAGAAATATACAAGTATCAAACATATAGTTTACTTCTTATATTCTCTGTATTTGTAACAATTCAAATTCCAGACACTACCTCAACCAATACTAAGTCCACAGTTTTACTCACTCCCAGTGTTGACACAATAACCGTCAGAAGTACATTGAAGGTCACCACAGAGGTCAAACAACAGGTCACAACATGGACCACAGCAGCTCCCACACCTACGGTTCAGAGTTCTCCTTCAACTAATATATTCTTTTCTAAATCTATAAAAACTCCGAAGTCTTCAACACCGTTTGTTATTCCACAGTTAGAGACGCCATATAACAACATTCCTGTTATCGCAATTACGGGAGGGGTCATTGCCTTATTCCTGGCTATACTAGTGATTCAGAGTTTCTTGAAGATGCGGCAAAAGAAACAAAAAATTACTAGAGCTGCATCACGAACACCAAAGGTACCAGTAGAGGAACCAGAAATATATCATGAAATTGACGACATAAATATAGTAATAGATAAGCGGGATTACCAAGGCATAGAAAAAAGTACAAAGTATTGTGATGCGTCACACGTATATACAGCAAAAACTCACCCATATCAAGAAATCAACAATTCTCTGCATGGCGTAGGAAAGTCTGTGATAGAAACAGTACAGGGAAATAATCCCTCCTCAACAGAAGGAAGCGACAGTTCAGAGGAGAGTGGGTCCTCCTACCTTAAGCCCCAGAAAACAAGAAATAAACACAGTTACATACAAGTAGTGGACCCGGATATACATAATGTCCCAGTGACAAGTGTCCATACAGACGGGGAGGAGGAGAACGACTCCTCTTCTCAGTATGACGACACTGTTAACAATTCTAATGCTCCAATTCTGTCCGTTTCTGATGGAGACTACCTTGACGTAGAGCACTATCCGGATAATAATGAAATATATCTTGAACCTGTTCATCAAGAGAAATAAGATAAATTATAATCATATTCTTGCGTAGAAAAGTATCATAGTTTACAGTTCGACATTTAAAATAATAAAATTAATGTGAATAAAATGAATGAAATAAATAGTAAAGACTTCTTTAAACCCATTTATATTAGGTCTGTGTCTTTTAATTGTATGGGTAGAATGACCAATTCAAAATTGATTTTTAATGATGGTACATGATGACGTATTTGCAATTAAAAACAATTAAATGAAATTGTTCACATAAGTCGTCTTTTAATGATAAGAAATTATTTAAGATGGTTTCTTTATAAATATGAGCATTCGTGTTTTCCCTTTTTCTGTTTCAATAACATGTTGAAACAGACATTTCAATTTCATTATATAACCAACTGGACATATTTTAAAAAGAAAATCTGAAAGAGAACGTACTCGTTTCATTCAAATAAATAATATCTTACTTGTTCTCAGAAAGAGGGTTGTAAAAATGTCATTCTTTTTACAATATGTCTAAGTCGCACCCTATAATTTATCATGCAGTCAAATACTGACTGACCTTTTTCATACTGGTTGTAAGGCCATTATTTACACGCTGAGTTATTCATGGATTTGTCAGTTATTTCCCTATCATGACAACGAGCACACGACCGATGACACGGCAGAGGATGCTCACTCCTCTATGGCAGCTGATCCCTCCTTTGATGTTTTGGAGGTCCGTGTTGCTCCACTCCTATTTTGTAATGTTCAATGGTCTTTTGAGCTCAAATACTGTTTGTTATCTCCATATATTTTATCTTCCTTAGTTCTCCTGCCAGACAACTGAGCTCGATTTTTGTTAAAGCAGATATTATAGTTACATATATCTTCAGTTAACCCCCCTCTTGCCTTGTATATTATACACATATCTTCAGTTAACCCCCTTCTAAACATAAAGAATTCCGAACAAACATGAAATGCGCTTCTCCATATATTTCATTCAGCAATACAATTTGGAAAGATGCATGAAGAAATAATTAAGTAACTTATTTGAATATAATTTGATTGCAAAGTGCAAATGGGATTGGGCAGCAGGAAAAGCATATTTTAGCACTCTCCCTAAATAAAAAAAAATATGAGATACAAGCAGGAAATATCCTCTTTCTTGTATAAGGAAAGAGGAATGTTCTTCTAAAACAGGAATATAATAAACTAAATCACAAAAATTTTTTAATAATTTTTTAAATGACACTACATACCGATCGTTATTTAAAGTAGAAATTGAAGAGAATGTATTATTATTCTCTTATTAAATTAAAAAACAATTGTTGCAAACATTTTAAAATACATAACATAAAACATGTTTATGACTGAAAGAAAAAATTTCATACGATCAAAATAATGATAGAAGATAAATAGAAATCTTTTCTCTAATTTAAAAACAAGAGACCCATGGGCCACATCGCTCACCTGAGAAGCTTTCACCATGTTATTTTTTTTACCAGATTTCCTCCCTTGTAATACCTATTGTTACACCCATCGTACCCAAAGGTCATATTTTGGAAAATTTAAAATCTACACCGCTCCAGGATGCTTCTACAAAATTTTCAGCTTTTCTGGCCAAGTAGTTCTTGAAAAGAAGATTTTAAAAAAAGAATTTCCTATATATTTCTATGTAAAACTTTTATCCCTATTGTGGCCCTGCCCAACCCCCGGGGTCATGATTTGAACAATTTAGAATCTACACTACCCCAGGATGCTTCCATGTACGTTACAGCTATTATGGACCAGTTCTTCATGAGAAGATGATTCTTGAAAAAATTTCCTTTATATTTCTATGTAAAACTTTGATTCCCTTTTTTGGCCCCGCCCAACCCCCAGGGGTCATGATTTGAACAACTTGAATGTACACTACCTGACAATGATTCCACATGAGTTTTATCTTTCCTGGCCCAGTGGTTCTTGATAAGAAGATTTTAAAAGATTTTTCCTATATATTTCTATGTTAAACTTTGATTCTTTATTGTAGCCCCGCCCAACCCCCAGGGGTCATGATTTGTATAATTTAAAATTTACACTATACCAGGATGCTTCCAAATAAGTTTCAGCTTTTCTGGCCAAGTAGTTCTTGAGAAGAAGATTTGTTAAAAAGATTTTTCCTATAATTATATTTTTATGTTAAAATTTGATTCCCTATTGTGGTCCCGTCCAACCCCCTGGGGTCATAATTTGACCCCTTTAGAATCTACATTATCCCAGGATGCTTCCACGTAAGTTTCAGCTTTTCTGGCCCTGTGGTTCTTGAAAAGAAGATTTTTTAATGACCCCACCCTATTTTTGTCTTTTTTTGATTATCACCCCTTGTGATGGTTCTTGGCCTTCATTTTAACAATTTAAACTCCCCCTTTACCTAAGAATACTATGTACCAAGTTTGGTTAAAATTTGCTCAGTGGTTCTTGAGAAGAAGTCAAAAATGTAAAAAGTTAACAGACGGACGGACAGACAGACGGACAGCTAGACGGACGGACATAATGTGATCAGAAAATCATTTGAGCCTTCGGCTCAAGTGAGCTAAAAATGTTTTATAGCCGAAATTCTTAGTTTTGTTCATGTACAGGTATCGTGTATGAAATACAAACAACATCATTTGTTTTTCTTACGGTTCACTTTACTCGAGAAATTCCGTTTATATGAGCTAATGTGTTTGTTTCATTGTTGATATGAAAAATCTGTTGAAACTATCGGGTATTTCTCTCCTAGTGTTCTTAAGCTACATCCATTGTTCCTACAAAGACGCCTATGAAATAAGTGGAAATTGTTCTGAAGGGAAAATAAAACTTTATGTATGTTGTTTTAAATGCTTTTACAGTATTTTGTGTTTTACATATTCTTACGAAACAATTGAGTAGATGTTGTATCTAACATGTACATTCTTCTTATACTTTTAAGTCCCAAACTTTAAACTGCTGTTATAATTTCTACTTGATAGAGGAGCAATGCAAACGTATGTTTTTCTTTCAGATTGATACTGCTTATGATTAGTTATAAAATATATATTTATTAATAGCAAAAAGAACTAAAATTTGTTTTGTTTTGTTTTAATTCACAGCTTGCAATAACGGTTACTTTGCAGATAATTGCAGTGTTAAAATGTTAATATCCTGAATACGGGAAATCGTGTGGGCAAAAGAGTGACTGTCCATCTGAACAATGCAACCATGTGTATGGTTGTCAAGCAAGAGGTAAAAGAACTATATGTTATGTTAATTTATTAATTCAAAACTTGAAATAAAATCGTGGTTATGTTTAACATATCCTGTTTATCTAACAAATGAATGAAAAAAAAATTGTTAACTTTTAGATTTATGTTATGAGAAATAATTTGGAAATGTAATAGAAACTAGAGCCGAGCTCGTTGAAAGCAACGAGTCGGTCTTGTGTCGGAGCTGCGGACATGGAGAAATGACCTTGAGTCAAGGTCATGCCACGTTCTAATGTTTATCTATTAAAATAGGATAGTAAAGGAATGTTTGCGACCTTGACATTGTCAAAATGACCTTGCGTCACACCATGACACACGCTGGTGATGAACATATCCCATTTATGTGCTACCGTATTGACGAATTCTTAAGCTATACCCTTTTCTCGATAGGCCTTGTCACAGCTAATACGTGTAAACATGTGTAAAACTAGGTATGCAAACGTTATCCTTTCTTTATCAAAAGTAATAGTCAATTGTGAGCTACGTTTAAATTTTGGAAAAGCCGGTTAAGCGTCAAGGTCAAAGTTCATTATATACTAATATTTCCATTTCTAATTTTTCTTTCTATGATAACTCTTTGAAATTAAGCGGAGTTAATTTCTTGATAATTCTACCGGAATATAAATTAGGCAGGTCAATAGGTCAGGAGCTAAGGAGGCCAAATATGCAGGCAAATCTCGTGCGCATCTGTCTCTAAGTCTGACGCTAAGGAGGCCAAATATGCATGAAAATTTCGTGCGGCTGCC